TTTGAACTTAGGTCTTTCTGACTTCAGGGCTGGTGCTCTATCCACTTCGCCACCTAGCTCCCCCAAAGTGGGATTATTTGATGAGGCATATCTGTTACAAGGGTTTTGTTTTTCTTTTTTTTTCCCTCAGTGGAGAGAAGGGAAGAAATGGATAGGAGAGAAAAATAAATGTTTGCTAATTTTCTTTTACTTTAACTTACTTTTACTTTCAAAGGTAAAATCAGTTTTTTATGTAGAAAGCCAATGCTGAAAGACCAAACCTAAGATACAATGTAGAATACCTAACTAATCACAAGACTTTGTTATTGAAACTAATTATCTATTTTAATTAAAATGTTCTGCCTTCATTAAAGGCACTTCTACGCATGACTAGAAGATAATTATGTTTGAATTTCTATATGTGCATTTCCATATGTGCATGGGTGAATCTAAGGTCACAGGATTGTAACTGTAAAGCTGGAAGAGACTTCTGGAAGTGAGATCCTATGTCTCAAGAGTCAGGGTGTCTGGTCCTGAAGTCAGGAGGACCTGAGTTCAAATGCGGCCTCAGACCAAACACTTGACACTTACTAGCTGTGTGATCCTGAGCAAGTCACTTAACCCCAATTGCCTAAAAATTAAAAAAAAAAAAAAGAGTCAGGGTGCCTTCCACTGAGGGCAGGTATGTGGTGCAATAGATCTGGGCCTGGAGTCAGGAAGAAGCAAGTTCAAATCCTGCCCCAGACATTTAGTAGCTGTGTCTGAACAAGTCACAATCTCTCTAAGCCTCAACTTCCTCATCTCGAAAATCAGGGTGGGGATTGGAGTCTATGGTCTCTAAGGTCCCTTACATTTCTAAATCTGTGGTCCTATAATCTTATGGCCAAAGGACCTCTTTAATCTAACATATTGCCCCTTATAATAGGAAGGCTTGCAATAGGACTTAGAATCAATTAAGACCTGGGTTGGATCCCACCTTACTTATTAGTTGTGTGACCCTGTATATGTCATTTTTCTCCTCTGGGCCTCAGTTTCTTCCACTGCAAAATGAGAAGATGGGACTCAATGGCCTTACAAATCCCTTCCAGTTCTCAACCTTTAATCCTATGACCATAGGAATGAACCAATAGAATTTGTACACCCAAATGTCCCCACCAATATGGACCCCTCAGAGGCTTCTCCTAAGACTGCTTTCAGAACCTAGCACAAATTCTTCTGAATGGTAAATCCCAAATTTTTTAGGGTATATCCATTCAAGAAGGGGCAAGGTATAGAGAAAAGACTGAAGCCCCAGGTGCTAATCCTGGCTTGGTCATGGTGTCAGCTGCATAATATGGAGCAAGTTAACTGCCATCTCTGGGCCTCAGTTTTCTCACCTCGAAAATGAAAGACTCACAGAGGCAACTGATTGCTGTCTTCAAATATCTGGAAGACTGCCATTCAGAAGAGGAATAACACTCATACTGGGCGTACCCAGAGGGTAGAACTAGGAGCTTTTGTAAGAGGAAGTGGCAGATAATTAGATTTAGGGCTGATGCCCTAAGAGAAAATGCCTTTTAGAGCTATTCCAAGTCAGAATGGCCTATCTTGGGAGGTAGAGTCCAGGTTACCTTTCTGGATGGACAACAGATCACCACAGATGTCTCTCTACAGAGGGACTTTCCAGAATGGCTTGGATCCTGCTCATACCAGTCCAATTCATCCTGGAAAGTCCCTCCCCACTTGGAGAGTTCATGACTAAGTGATTTCTGAGGTCCTTTTTAGAAATTCTGAGATTTTCTTTCACTTAAAAAAAAATCATCAGAAAACCAGGTCAGATGCATAAGGTGGGTGGATCAAACTAGTAATACTATTTTAGTTTTAAAAAAAATATCAAGGTGTGATCATGAAAGAATAAAACAGATCCTTATGTGATCCTTTGCTGAAGGAAGCTCTCAAAGTCGATGGCAGATCCTCATTTGGTTGAATAGGTTTTGTTAAAAACTCAGCTTCCTAATTTCCTTATAGCCCAGCTAAAAAACTTATCCCATTTAACAGATCCAGTTAATGTCAACATCTCCCAGAGAAGGCAACCAAAAGAGTTTTAATACTATTTAACAGGTCCAGTTAATGGTCAACATCTCCCAGGAAGGACTCTTAATCAGCAAATGGCAATGGGAGTTGCAACTGATTACTATCTCTCCAGGTGTGAATGTCTCTGCCATAGTTAGCTTTGATACCCAGGCTCCAAGGCTCCAGCTCCCAGGTAGGTTTTCCTTAAACATTAATACCTCTATAATTTAGGAAGGGAGTAAAGGTGACCATGTAGAGAAAAAAGCCAAGAGGAAGTGGATCAGAAGATTTAGAGCTGGTGAGGACCAGAGAGATAAGCTTATCTAACCATTATATTTTGCAAATGAGGAAACTGAGGCCCAGAGAAGTTAAATGATTTGCCCAAGATTACCCAAGTAGCAAATAGCAGAAGAAGGATTCAAACACAGTCACTAAACCAATTAATTTAATACTCTTCTGGTCTTTCTCTCCACTGGGTCTCTAGGAAGCTTCAGGAATTTAGGGCCACCCTAATAGTTCAATACAATAACAGTGCCCAAAGTCAGAAGAACATATGCACAAGCCAAACAATGAAGTTTTCATGATAAAAGAACATCACCTGAAAGGAATATACTGGGAAATAGGAGTGATTATAAAAACAAAAGATAATTTTTAAAAAAGGAAATCTATGGAAAAGTTGGGGATTCTGGCTCCCCTCTTTTGGCCATACTAGATTTTCTGGGCAACCCTAGATTGCTAGATTTCCACCTTCCCCTTCTCCCCTCTCCCCACGCTAGATGCTCTAGAAAAGATATATAACTTGAAGATCAACATAGCCTTGATGGTTCATAACATTTAGGGTCCAGGAGTAGGCAAAAAAGCTAATTCGTGCAGAAATCTATCATGGTATACTGGAAAGAGTCAACTTCAAAGTCAGGAAAACCTGAGTTTAAGTCTTGTCTCTTATATAAACTGGCTGTGTAACCCGACTAGGCAAGTCACTTGCATGCTAGGAACCTCTCTAAAACTTAAGTTGCAGAGAAGATTCCCACCTGCATTGGTAGAGAGAGTTTTCCTCACACCGGTGTTCCCTAGACCAGTGAAAATTATAAGTCCAGTCCCTACCCATAAGGCTACATCTAAGGTCACAAAACAACGGTGGAATGTGTGGAGTGTGTGGGTGTGGTGAAGAATATTAGGGTGCCTGGATGATAAGCCCTCAGGAAAACATAGCAGAGGGAAAAGATTTAAGCATCTCCATATCCTAACCACCCTCCTACCTAATGATGACACATCATTGCTTTGTTGGGGTTGAAAGATTAATTGGTATTGGTCCATCATGTTTCTGTCCTTTCCATCTTCTCCTATATCAGGGTGGATCTAAGGATGGAAGACCCCAGAGAGCAGGGAACAGTACTATACAGCTCCTAGGCTCTGGCACCCAGCACTGCAGGCAGACTGGTTTAGTGGGTTGAGGGCCAGACCTGGGTTCCAGTCCAAGCTCCAGCACTACCTCTCTGTGTGTGTGACTCTGAGAAAAGCAATGAACCTCTCTGTGCTTCAGTCTCCCCCATCCATCCCACCGGAAGAAGGGGTTTGCTCCCTGGAGTTGTTTTGAGGCCAAACAGAGACAATAAATGTAGAATGAGGCTTACTCCTCAGAACTATGCCAAACCACTGTTCTCTCATCCCCAAGCACAGGCCCTGGGGGATAGGGGTGGGAAGAGGCCTGGGAAAATGCCTGAGCGCTTTGGAAATGTAGGCATGTAGAATAAATGAAATATAGAAGTGAGTCAGCTAACTGGCAAAATGGATAGAATACAGGGCCTGGAAGCCAGAAGACCTGAGTTCAAATCTAGCCTCAAACACTTACTAGCTGTGTGACGCAGAGCAAGTCACTTAACCTTTACCTCACTTTCCTCATATGTAAAACAAGGAAAATAAGAGCACCAATTTCCCAGGGTGGTTGTTTTGAGTATCAAATGAGATGTAAAGTGTTTAGCACAGTGCCTGGCACATAGTAATTGAGATCATTTGTTCTCTGTTATCATTAGCTATTATAGAAATTGATGCTGACAGAACACCTAAACACATGATCTGTCCCCCAACTGAGGTCCCCAAATATTCTTTCATACAGGCCTGAACACGTACTCTCTTTCTCTTTCTGTTTCTCTCTCTCTCTGCAGTGCCAGGCAGGAAAACCCAAGCCCATTTCCTTTGCTAACAAGAAGTGGACAGCATGAAACCACAATCCAACCCACAGAAGGTACCCAGCCCCTCCACTGCGTGCTCGGAAGTACCCGGGTCAGACCAGCACTCTGAGAGCAACAACTGCACCCCCTCCCTCTCAGTAGCTGCTCCCTTTTCACCCCCTCCAGCAAAGAAGGGCTTGGGGAGGTGAATGTCTCTAAGTGGGGGTGGCAGGACCAGGGGTTGGGGTGTCAGGAGTTGTTGAAGTAAGGACGTGCTGGCCAGGGTCTTTGCATAGGAAGGAAATAAGAACCCAGCACGAGGGAGGAAATGATGGCCTCCACAGTTCCTGCTTCAGCAAGCCAGAGACAGACAGCAGGGAGTCTCGCCTCCTTCACCCCCACCTCCAAATGCAAGTTGAACCTCCTTATCAAGATGACCATCCCTATCCCCATCCCATAATCCAACCTTGAAAAAAAACAAAACACCAAACACCAAAAATCCCTGATTCTAGAGAAAGAAAGGAGGGGCTCAGAGCATGAGGAGCCCACAGAGCAGCGGCAGCAACAACACACGCGTGCACACCCCCCCTACCCCTCCATCCCTCCCTCCACTGCTTGGGGGGTGGGGGTGGGGGGCTGCTCTCTCCCATGCTCAGGCGGGAATGCAAGGCTGGCCCCGATGGAGGGGGAAGCGGCCAGAAGAGAATGAGTCTCATTCACATTGCCTGGCCTGGGGCGGGGGAAGAGGAGAAGAAGAGAGAGGCCAGGGTGGGGAGCACTGAGCTGCGGGAAACCTACGTTACTGATTTGGTCCTGCGTCTTCTTAATCCTCTGAAGCTCCGGCGTGTCTGCCACCACACTGAAGCCCTTCCCCTTGTTCTTTTCAAATTCTTCCTTGTAACGCACCTGGAGGAAAGAGCAAAGAAACTGAGTGGCAGGTCACGGGGTGGGGGGGGGGGGGAATGGAAGAGACCCCAAACAGGGGCCTGCAGGGGAGCAGGGCAGAACTTCAAACTGGGACGTGGGCCAACATTCTACTATCCCAGACACTTGGGGCTGACTTCAAGGCAGGAAAGTGACCTGAATCTCTGAAGGTTTTTTCCAGGTCCCGGAAGGTTTTCCCCTGGATAAATGACCATCGCTGCCGTCAAGTCAAGTTGTACCGACAGACAAAAAGCAGCTAGAACTGAGGAGAACCACCAGCTTCTGGCTGGCACTGCCAACACCTTGGAGCTTACCTCCAGAAAAAGCCAACGGGATGGGAAAAGAGAGGAGGGAGAGGAAGGGAAGCGGGCAGAGGATGACCAGAACAGACCACACTTTAACAGGGCATCTTAACCTGGGGCCTGTGGATAGATTTCAGGGTCTCTGTAAACTTGGATAGGGGGGAAAAATTACATCTTTATTTTCAATAACCTCTAACTGAAATCTAGCAATTTCATGTCTTTTATTTTATGCATTTGGAAACATCACTCTGAGAAGGGGTCCCCAGGTTTGACCAGACTGCCAAAGAGGTCGACAGCACCAAAAAAAGGGGAAAAACCCCTGCATTAGAATGATCCCCAAGTGTTTGGATGGTAATCCTAGAGAAAATAACATTACCAGTCCTGACCTGAAGATTCTGTAGCAGAAATCTGGGCAGTACTACAGTAAGAGAGACTGAGGTTAGAGAAAAATGGGAAAAAACTTCCAGATGCAATTGAGGGATGAAGATTTGAGAATTCCCTGGGAATATACAGGGGTGGTCTAGAATGAGTTTAAGGAAGAGGCAGCTCCATGATAAAGTGCACTTGGAATCAGAAAGATCCAAATTTGAATCCTGCCTCAGTCACTTATTTAACCTCTGTCTGCCTCATTTTCCCCGTCTGTAAAATAGGATGATAATAGCATCTACCTCCCAGGGATAGTGTGAGAATCAAATAAGATATTTGTGAAGTATTTTGCAAACTTTAAAACACTATATAAATGCTAGCTACTTTATTATCACTATCATCATCATAATGAGGGAAAGAGAAAAATAAAGTTAGGGCCTCTCAAGGCTCCTCCTTTCTCCTACATGGATTGGGAATCCAGTAAGCCCCAGGTCGCTGGGACTTCTCTCTCTCTCTGAGCAGCTGTTCCCTTCCTGCTGGGTTCTCTCTCCCCCCAACTCCAGCCTGTATTTCCTCCATGGGGGGTGGCCCAGTCCCTGGAAGGCAGGTCAGCCCAGGACATGGATCACATGACTGAGCCTCCTGAGAGTTTCCAGGATGAGATCTGGGTGGTTCCCAGGCAAGGAGAGGGAGGACAGAAGTTAGGGTGGAATGTACTTCAGCAGGGGTTGAGCCAGATGATTCCGGTCCCCCCCATTCTCCCACCATGCACCACCTGTCACTTGGCCCCGAAACACCAAACACTAAAGGCTTCCAGAGCTTGGGTCAGGGGCCTGTGAAAATGCCATTACAACACCACAAACACACAAAAACACTTTCCTCAGGACATCCCATGAATTACGTAGAACAAGTACTTGATTTTTGGCTTGGTCTATTCACTGCCTTACACAGTAGTCATAGGCACTAATAATTATTTGCTGAATTGGATTTTATGGATGAGAAAACAGAGGCCCACAGAGGGTGAGGTGATTTGTCCTTGGTCACCAGAATTTAAACCTAACTCCAAGCCTAGCCCCCTGTGCCTCTCTTTGCTAAGAAGCTGAGAATTCCAAAGACATCCTTACCTACATTTAATAATGCCACCCAGCCGCACTGGAACCTTTCCAGTCTCTGGGTCAGGACCCCTGGGCCACGTCACAGCATCCTGGCCTAGCCCCTTCTTTCATTTTTTCAATCAGCTTAAAAGTAAGAGGCAAAGTGTCATGATGCAGTGGAGAGAGTCAGCCTTGGGAGTCAGAAAAACCCAAATTCAAGTCTTCTCTCTGACATCTATCGGCTTCGTGAATGTGACTAGGCACCTCCACGTTGGAGAACGGATGCTATTATACGTTGTTAGAGGGAATTTCCTCATCAAACACCAATGTTGGTGGGCCCAGCACTGGTGAAATCACAAGCCTGGACCACAGACTATTTCTGCTTCAGCCCATATCAGCAGAAGATAACAAATGTGGTTCACAACTATGGGAGTGTGGCCTGGCTGCAGAAAAAAGGGTGCACTTTATTTAAAGGGGGAAGGAAGGCTAAGACAGGAGAGTCAGCTCTGAGTTGCATTTGAAAGAACAGAAAGGAGGGCCATAGGCCTTGGGATAGCAAGAGCCGCAAGAGACTAGACCAGAGACTGCTTATGATTAAGCTCGCCAATAGTGATCTATGACATCGCTCTGCTGTGCTGCTAAATTCAAAAGGTGACAGACTTAGGACCTTAGGAACCTGAAAGCTCATCATCTCTGTCCTACCACCTCATTTTATAGAGTTAAAAACAGAGAAGCAGAGATTCCAGTTGACTTGCCTAAGCCTCAAAAAGAGCCACCTCTCAACTAGGATATCTGCTTGCTACCTTAAGCCCAAGTGAAGGCAGTGTGAACACTGACTTGAGTCAAAGCTTCCAGGTTCAAATCCTACCACTGGTGCTTACTTGTATGACCTTGGGCAAATTAACTTCACTGGGCCTCCGTTTCCTCATCTGTAAAAAAAAAAAGGGGATTGGAGACGAAATGGTTCTTGCAGTCCTTTCTAGCTGTAGAGATTTGACACTCAATCTCCCCCCAAGCAAAGCTTTGATCCCATTTCCCACCTACTCAAAAAACCTTCACTGGCTACCCATTGCCTAATGAGTAAATCCAAATTGTGGGAATGGACAGTGTGCTGGATTTGGAGTCAAAGGGACTTGGATTTAAATCCTTCTGACCCTCCATTTTGTCATCTTTAAAATAGTAAATATGGACAAGTCCCCTCCAGTTGTGCAGATCTCCATATGACCCTAGGACTCCTCCTCTCTGACCCCCAGTTTCTTTACCTATTGAATTAGGTGACCTCTGAAATCCTTTCTAGTTCTCCATCTGTGATCCTAGGATGGCCATTCTCCAAGTATAGCTTGTGTTTTTCCATCTCCTCTTCTCACAATCCTACCATCTCCTACCAAGTCAGTTGGCTTACCTTTTGGGGGGCAGGACTGCTGCCATAATTAACCTGGAGTTTAGGGACAACTCACTGATGAGAGCCCCTTCAAACCTCACCCTCCTCCCAACTCTGGCCCATCTGACTTGATCTCCCTCCTGCCCTTATAAGGCTTGGGGCCCTTTACACAGGGTAATGTCCACTATGATGACATCAACTAGTTCTCAGCCTTCTTCCCTACCCCCAATCCCAACACAGCTGTGCAAAGGGGTGATTCACTTTTATGCTTGGAATGGTAGGCCAGGGAGGGTCAGAAAAAGGACAGAAAACAGGGCTCTGGCCATAGTACCCCATGTCCCAATTGCAGATTCACTTGATACTCATCATTCCAGTACCTGGGAAAGGGACAAGGAATAATAGCGAATAACTTACATTTAGATAAAGAACTTTACATATATTGCCTTATTAGATAGATGCTATTATTATCCCTGTTTTACAGATGAGGAAACTGAGGAAAACCAATGAAACAACAAGGACCCAAAGCCACACAGCTGGAGTCTGAGGTAGGATCTAAATCCAAATCTTTCTGACTCCAAGTCCAGCACTCTATCTACTGTGCCACCTAACTACATAAAGACCAAGCCCCTCTGTCTCCATCTTCATAATGCTCTCAGACTTCTCCAACTGGCATGAGAGGGCATATTCTCCCAGAAGACCAAGGGCTCTGGGCGTCAGTGAGAGATGTCAAGAGACACCCCAAAGAGACAAGGGAGTTAGAAGTGGGAGAACATCCCCATGGTTCTCAATGTCCTATCCTCAATCCCATCCCAGCCTCTGCTTTTAAGAAGGTAAAATTCAATTCAATAAACATTTGTTAAATACCTACTATGTGCCAGTCACTGTGATGGGCACTGCGAAGAATGATCATTGGTACTTTGGTACCAGAGAATTGGCTGCAGACAAATTTGTGCTTTGTCTTCTCAGGTGGGATTTGAACCCAGGCCTATGTGGACCCTGCCATGTGAGACATGTGAAATTTGTCTAGAGTGAGCATTTCTTCTCCTCCTCAACACAGAGTGAAAGCAGAGGTCACACCTGCCTCAGACTAGGGACCAGGAAGGTGGCCTATAAACTACACCCACACCCACACACAAATAAATACACAGACCTGGTCTCCAAGGACAACACAGAAGTGGACATTTGAGTTAACCACAAAGAGCTAGGGACTGGGGTATGGTTATCTGCATGTCTAAAAAGGAAAATCCTCCAGCCCTTCCCTATTTCAGGGTCTAAGATCAAAATGGAAGGAGGTACGATAGTATAAAACATAGCCAGGAAAATAATGTACACAATTACATCAACGATTAAAATGGAAAGATTCACAAAACGATCACAAATGAATGTTGTGAAATTATAAAGAACATGCATGGCTTCAAAGAAGAGACATGAGAAGACGCCTTCACCTCACTCCTTTGCAAGGTGGGAAGTCCATGGATATGGAACAATATAAATATATATATTTTTAGGGTTTTTTTTTTTAATGTAATGATAAGTTTTGCTGATTTTTTTTCTCTTTTTCTTTAAAAATATTCTTTGTTATGTAGGATGGCTCTCTGGGAACAGAAAGGGGAGGAATACTAGGGGATATCTGGATGATGTAAAAAGACAAAAGATGTCAAATTTTATTTAAAGAAGAAAGGAAAAAATGAAGAAAGAAAGGAAGGAAGGAAGGAAAGAAAGAAAGAAAAGAAGGAAATGGAGTAGGGATGAGATGGGGCTAAGAGAAAGGGAATTCAGATCCCATCCTTCAGTCCATTCCTGCCTTGGCAGGGTAGGGGTGATAATGAGAGGAGGGAG